ACTAAATTTGATCAAATGGATGTATGAGGATGAGCTCTGTGCAAATATAGACATTGCACTGAGAATATACATAAGCATATCAGCCGTAAATTGTACTGCAGGACATTCTTTTTAAGATAACAAATGTTGGAGGCCAGATTATATGACTTGGCAATTCTTGCAATCAAAATTACTGTCATCAAAAGATATCAACGACATCATCAATTCTTTTGCTGAAAGGAAAACAAGACATTGTAAATTTTAAAGTAAGTTAATAAGATTATTGTAAGATTGTAATGTATACATATATATAAACAATAAAAAATTTATAGTCAATAAACTGAGGGATGGTAATAAGTTTTGTAATAAACTGAGGGATGGCAATAGTTTTGTGCCTATAGGGGGCAAAATGATAAATCCACCTCTGGTTATGCTAATCAATAAGGTAACGTGAGCTGCACATGTGCCACGTAATTTTCAATTTGTGTGGAGGAATTTTTAGTCAGACACAGTTCAAAGGTCAATAAAACAAAAATTAATAAATATAAATAGATGTATATTGTTAGGAGATTTAAGCTATTTAGAATAAACATTTGTGGTTTCCTGTTATTCTAAAACAAAAGAAAAAAGCAATTTAGATTTAATTCCTAATTTTTATGATGGTTACGAGGTAGTCAAATCGACCAACACCATATAGAGTTAGCATTGATAAAATAACATATTAAATATAAAGTTTTATTCAAAAAACATTTGATGATTACCTAGAAGGATACAGATTACACAAATGACACTAGACAATTTTCAGATAAAGAAAAGTATTTTTAATCTTAAAATCAACATTACTTTGCATGTTGGATAGTCAACATTCTGAAAGTAAAAATTCACGAGCAAATCTTTACTAAGAAAATCTTAATACTTAATTTAAAAACCTGATATTTTGTTAATGAAAGCCTTGTAATGTTTACTAATAATCTCCAAATTTTAAAAATTATAAAAAATTATAGTATAATTACTCTCACATGGATACTTTCATGGTTATGAGCTGGGTGGGTCCCACCCTACTATATTTGTAGATTAACCTTGTGACTTCCCCCCCCCCCTACATCAATGCACCCGAACTATATATAAGCTCCTCATTATTCTTTTTTGTTCACTTTTTCAAGAATGACAAGATTATCAAACCCGAACAACTGTTATCGTGGGGAGGAAAGGTGGGATAGTGTGAGAGGAAAATGTAAACTTCCGAAACACACGTTAGCTGGAATCCCACACTGACCAAGTGGAGTGGCTGGGGAGGGCAGGATCCACACAGAAAGTATCCTTGTAGAAAAACAGATGTGCAAAATTGAGATATAATAAAGCACACTAGTGGGGGTCTACACTACTCCTGGAACAGGTATGCTCTTTGCCCAGATAAAGTGAAACCTAAACATGGGCAGTAAAGGCGAACTAGCTACAGAGTCAACATTGTTCATTATCACGAGATTTGTCCAGGCCTCAACCACACATTCGAGGTTCCATGTCTCATTGTTGGAATTATAGGGTTGTGGACTTGAAGCTAGATCCAAGGTGTAATGCCTATGGCCTGGGGGACCTCAATATGATATAATTATATAACAGAAATATAATATGAAGGGAACCCAAACTGAAAGTTACAGTGTGTTGCGTGTTGAGCCACCAGAGTTACGAAGAGAAGACAAGCAACATCTAAGTGGACAAACCCTCACTTCAACCCGAAGAAACACAAAATGCATCAAACTGAACTTGGATTTATGGGCCCAGTCACCCAATCTAAAATTTACAGAATGTCACATGCATGCCACTAGAATTACAAAGGGAAGACAAGCAACATCCAACTGGAAAGTCTTCCATCCAACCTGAAGAAGCTCAGAATGCAATGAACCAAACTTGGAATTATGGAGCCAATTCACACCTCAATCAACCTGAAGAAACAGAGATCATCCGACATGGGATTATGAACCGAAATCCTAACTCCTCAACATGGGAGGCAATATAACACTTCCTGCCCCCAGAATTATGAGGAGAATGTGAAATAAATGAAGTTCAACCAATGGCTTGTGGATGTCATGCTCCTCATGCAAAATTACGAGGAGTCGAAGATGAATCTGAGGGAACACATAAAGATGAAGACCCATCCCATCTCGGTTTAGATCCTCTACTCCAAGCCAGAGTGCGAGGTACTGAGGATTCCAAGGTGTGGCAAAAGCCTCAATCTGTGGTGTCCCAAGACAAGAGCAGATCCATTGAAAAACTTGAGGAAGAAGCATCCATTCTATAATTCTGTAAGAAGAGCTTTGTTGGAATGAGACAACTGGTTGGCTCCTAGATTCATTACCCCTGGAACATGACAAGCAAGAAAAACAATCTGGTGTTTGTGTGCCCAAAGGAGAAGATCCACTTTTCAAAAACAGAGTGATCTAGAGTGAGTGCCCCCTTGCTTTGAAAAGGATGAGACTACTGGTTGGCCCCTAGATTCATTACCCCTGGAACATGACAAGCAAGAAGAACAATCTGGTGTTTGTGTGCCCAAAGGAGAAGATCCACTTTTACAAAACAGAGAGTGCCCCCTTGCTTTGAAAAGGATGAGACTACTGTGGAATCATCCAAAACGAAGCATTATTACCTTCACTCGGAATAATTCGATACCCTGAGGCATGGCTCATTAAACTGCTAAATATTCTAAGAAACTGATGTGGAGAGAAGCTTACTCTACAGTCCAAAGTTCCTTGAATTAAATATTGTCTGTATAAGCACTCCAGCCCTGAAGAAAAGCATCTGTGAACAGATGTATCTCTAGCCATGGAGGTGGAAGAGGGATACCTACAGTTAGGTTGTCCCTGTTCAACCACCAGCTGTGGTCCAGCACACTAGAATCCAACAGTCTCACTGGACAACCAGTGCATCTGTGCAGATGTTCCACTGGTCCTGTAACAACCTTTGAATGGGTGATTCCTAGGATACTCACATCCCCAAAAGAGATATAACTGTGCATGCTGGTGATGAAGAATGACCTATTCCATGGCCTGAAGGGGTAGAGGAGAAAGTTGGTTCCAGCTGAGTCTGGAATTGAAAACACCACTAAATGTATGAGGTACAGTGTGAAAGTAAGAATAGACAACTTCTTTTTTTATAAGACATCCAGCTCTCACAATTTCTGATAAAAAGAGTTTGAGTGTGTAGTTCTGTCAAATGGCAGGAAGGGGCAAGAAGACGCCAGTGATCCATGTAAAGGTGAGTGTGAATGCTGAAGGAGTGAAAATGACACAAAAAGCTCTAGCATAAGATAGTTGCTGACACCAAAATCTATGCTCCATCCTGGAGGAGGATCCCTGCTGGTAAGGGTGAAATCACTCTTGTGTTCCAAAGGATTGTGGTGCCAGAGAAGGACGTCTGGAAACAGGAACCGGAGATGCAGTAAACCATCCTGTAGAAGAACTTTGAAACAGTTAAGAAGCCAGTGTAAAAAATGAAAAATGGAGACAGGCCCTATCTACTCAAAATTCCATGGATTCTGTAATTCCCACAAAATAGACTAAGAAAACGGGCTTCTCTAAGAGCCAATGCAAGATGGCGAACTCCCTCCAGTAAGGCATCTCTCTCCAAAATATCTCAGCAACAAACAAACCAAGATACCAAGGAGAGAGCAGAAGCCTATAACCTAACCAAAGTGGAAGTCAATAAATGATTAACATCCTCAAAATTTGAGAAGAAGATCTACGATAGGCCTCAGACAACAGTTGAAAAGATGATAAAAAATGGAAAACTGTTGTAAGTGACAGACAAATTCTGGAAAACTGAGATTGTTTAAAATGAACAGTTACATCTTGTCTAGAGTCCCAAATAAGAAGGTTATAACTTCTGAGAGTCCAAATAAGGGTTCACCAGGCAATAGAAAGCCAAGGTACACTGATCCAATAAACGAGGAGGACAAGGCATGGCAACACCCTCCCTCAAAGGATCTGCAAATCTACTTGTATTTACTGTAATGTCTGGCAAAAGTAAGGAGAAGGTAATCTGATGAACTAGTTTCTCCCAATAAAAAAGGTGAAGATTCATAAGCCACAGAATAAATAATACAAACATGACAGACATGGCATACTAGTTTTAAAAAAATGGTGCAAGAAGCAAAATGTCCATCTGAAGTTCATGAGTAGCTGTCTGAACAAAGTCCACCCATGATCTCCCACAAATTCTGCCTCATAGCCAACAGGAGAAAAAACAGACTGCATGTAAGACTCTACCCCTCAGCATATAAGGAACTGTATGTCTTCAGTGGAAGGTGCCCTCCCCCTTCTGAGATGTGAACATGAGTATTCATATTCCAAAAAACGTCTCCAACTTTTTTTTCATAAAATCAAGAAAAATATACAATAAACTTCAGCCCCATTAAAAGATCCAAAATAATTCAAATGTAGTATCAGAGCTGAAGTAAAACCAGCAGTAAACATGTAAGACAGTCTTTGTAAGTTTTTGCCTCAGAGAAAAAGTGAATAAGAAATAATAATGGGGAGCTTATATACGGATCGGGTATAGAGGGTGCACTGATGTAGGTGAAGAGAGTCACAAGATTAAAATCACTAAGGGTGATATAGTAGAGTATAAAGACTGGAGCAAGTGAGGTAGAATTCATACCATTGCTTAGATGGGTGAAAGAAGAGAACCTTTCATCAGGTTAAAGCTAAAGTGAGAGAGGAAGTGCCTTTAAGGAAACCTGGTTTTTAATGCTATAAGCTTTTAAATTTTTTTAAAAAATGTAGTAACCCTTAGGGAAGTAACAATCATTACATTTACAATATTACAAAGATTTAGGTAATCACATAGAAAAATACTTTTCCAAAAACAAGTTATAACTAGGGTAATGTGTACAAACAAACAGGTGACTAAGAAATAATAATGGTTTGTTTTGTTTGAGAGTTTGAGTTTAGTTACAGTTTCAATAATGAATAGTAATTGTTCTTAAACAATTGTTGTATTACATGGACAAAGAAAATTACTTCTGAAACTTTTACATTCCATTTATTTGGAGACTTTTTATAATAATGATACACAAACTGGTTTAAATTCTTTACTTACTAACTAAACCCAAAATAAAAATGCTTAAAATAAGATTTAAAAACTCTGGACCAGTGGCAGACATGTAAGGTTTATTTCCTTTAGTTTAGAATAATTACGGACTTACAAACTGAATTAATTCCATGGCACTTTTGAATGGTATATAAATGATTTTGTGTGGTGCATGAACAAACTCTTTAACTCAGCTTCTAACTTTACATGATCACCTGTGGGTCTGTGACAGACTCAGATATTGCCTTGTGCGGAAGAACTTTACCACCATTAATATAGATTTCATCTTTAACAATAACGTCTTCACCAAGAACTGAGGTATTTTCCATTCGAACCTAAAACAGAGAAGATAAACTAAGTTGAATCTTCAATTAATAGTAAGATAAAACATTTTTGTATAAAATAATAAAGTTGAAAATAATGACTTCTACTGAAACTCTACCTAATATTTTGAATTTCCAAAGATAAAAATACATGAAAAAAAAAAACTTTCATAATACCAGTGGAAAATGTTACAAACATTTATCCCTTGTTACCCTACTGCTAGCTTGTTTAACTAATTTGTCACAACTGAAAATCTTACAAACATTTATCCCTTGTTACCCTACTGCTAGCTTCTTTTCAGTTGTGACAAAGTAGTTAAATCTTACAAACATTTATCCCTTGTTATCCTACTGCTAGCTACTCACCCATTGTCCAACAACACATTTCCACCCAATAACACAAGACTCTAACCATGAGTGAGATTTGATATGTGCTCCATTTAATAAAGTGCAACGTTTAATACAAACTCCATCTTCTATCACAACATCAGAACCAATTGTAACATTTGGTCCTATCCTACAGTTCTTTCCTATCTTAGCAGAGGGATCCTGAAACAATAATAATATATTATTTATGTATGACACTGTTCTGCCTTTAAAAGTGATGAATATAATGCATTCAAACTACAATAAGCAACAAAAGAACCCACAAAAATGCACAATAGGATTTGTTAAGTTCTTTCATTTAATAAACTCCATTTTAACTTTCACAAATATACACATATTTTTCGTTGTGAAGAATTTTTAATAAAAGCTGTAATTTGTGACAAATAATTTTAATGAATATTGAAAAAAAACTTGAAAACTAAATATAAGTAAGTTACACACACAGGAAACTGTCAACTTACTATAAGAACATTTCCTAAAAATTCTAAGTACCAGTAAGATACCTCAGGAATCTAGTACAAGTTTTGTACTTCATGCTAAAGAACAAGTTGAATACAGAAAATCATAATTAAAAATTAATTATTAAAGATGTTTACATTCATAGCATATTGACATATTTGTAATCTTACCTTTCCAAATTAACAATAGGTATGGAAATGAATGAATGAATGTGTGAAGTATGTATGATAACATCAGTTTCAAAACAGATCTTTCTCTGATTACATCAATGAAAAAATCAGAAATTATACCTTGATCACTCCATTCCTGTCAATTATGAACCTACATGTAATGAATATATGAATCGTTCAATACATTTGATATTATACTACACACTGATAGAGTGTAACCCATGTCCTCCGTGCATGAAATATTTGTACAAACTTGCTTTGTAAGCTATGGTTCACAAGAACTACTGAATGCAAAATTGGGTTCAAATTGTAAATTTACTTGTTGTTGTTTTAAACACGAAGTGAAAGGTTTTTTATAATTTCCTTTTGAAGATGTCGATCTTAAGTCTATATTAAGATAAACAAGCAACAATACCCATCCCCAGGGATGGGAAAAGTTTAAGTTAATCTATAAATTCAAATTATTTCATGGACTTTAAAAATATTAACTGAATTGTACTCTTGGTTTCACTCAGAGCCAAACCACGAAAAGTAATTGTTGAGCATTTTAGTCATGCAAAGAGATGCTCAACAATAACATGTGATAAATCTAAATTTTCATTCTTTAAGTTACA